CACGGCTGGCAAGATGGGCACTGTGGTTCTACAGTAACATAACCTTATACTACCTATGCTGAAAACAGAAAAACAGTATAAAATCCCAATACAGTAAAACCATCCTGATGTCACCCCCTTCCCTGCCTCTCGGAGCGATGGGAGTGGAAAGGAAGGACCCCTGAAAGAAATCCCAGCATAAAACTTGCATCAGCTCAGGAGAAAGGGTCAAAAGCCCCCAAATCAACTTGTGGTGGGGCTCTGGGAAGGAAGCCTCCTCAAAGCCCTCAAAATGAATGCAGAGTGCAAGTCTGCCCTCTAGCGGGCAACTGCAGCACAGCCAGTTCGACATGATCAGAAGGTGGGGCTGCCCGGCTAGGGAAGCAGGGGAGATGAAGCCGCAAGCTCCGGCAAGGATGGGCCCCCAAACAGGACCCACCCCATCCCACAAGGTGCTTGCCCAGGCCCCAGTGACTGTAAACCTGAAACACGGGTCTGTGAGCTGCCTAAGTCTGTAAACAAAGCCCCACCCAGCCGCGAAGGGGGCCAAGTGTAGAGATGCCTAGAGCCACTCAGCCTGCCACCCACCCCGCACACCCAGTGGGAAAGCCTTCCCCGGCTAAGGGCAGGTGACAGGTCATTTTTAAATATGATCTGTTCTCTCACAGAAGTAACAAATCCAAAAGCGAAAAAATTTAACAAGGTCCATGAAGCTTCACATCCTTAAGGCGTTCGTTGTCAAGTTCAGTGTGTCCGGAGCAGCAGGGGACTGCAGCGCCCAGAGCTCCTCTAGGCAGAGTGCAGTGGAATGACAAACTTGCAGCCAAAGGGTGAGTGGTAGCTGATGCCCACCTCCTGGAACACCTGCTGGGGGAGGCCGATGTCGCACAAGTAGACGCGGCCCGCACGCTCCCCCAGTGGTAGAGGCAGGCCCAGAGCCAGTGACCACTTGGCATCGATGCCCTGTTCGCCTTCATGCACAGGAGGGTCTATGCTGAGCACCGGTGCCCGGTTCCGATTGGCCCAGGCGACAGCTGCCTTGTACCAGGGCTGGTCCCGCAGGAAGGCATTCTCGGGGCAGTCCAGGCAGTTGATCACTAGGTCCACGGGGCTAGTGGGCAGATCTGCAGGTGGAAAGAGCACCATCTGGGAATCGCTTTAAGTAGAGAGCAGCCCAGGCAGGGACTAGAGCCCACGTGGCCCCAAGGGTACCCTGTTCTGACACCACT